CATTTTGAAAGTAAATCCATATTGTTTGAAATTAAATCTTTTTCTTCTCCCCATCCCTGAAATTAAATCTTAATTTCTGTGAATTCTATTTATGTCTAAAGCTTTAGTATATTTTTTAATATTTCTTTTTGTCATATGTTTTTATCTTATTTATGAGGAATCTTTATTACCTGCATTTGACTTAGATTTTAAGGTGAAAAAGATAATAAAATTTATTTATAATATGAAGATAGTTTTTAAATCCCTTGCCCTAGCTTGGGAATTTATTTGCTACGAAGATAATATCTATATACAACTTGGACTTTTGCAATATCTAGGAAAAGTTTGTATTTTTAGGAAAATAGTTCTAGGGTTGAGTGTAAACTCAAAGAGTCAAAAGCAGCACGAGATTATTACAGTAAAACAAATATTTGAGTGATAATTATAAGAAAAGTATGTGTTTGAAGTTGATTTGATTTGATGTGTTTCACATTGGTCATTTTTTCAATTACATGATTTTCTCACTGTAACGTAAATAATGTTACCAATTACAGATGGAACCTCTCAAGGTTGGTCTCAGCCTCATTTCGATTCCTCTATTTATGGGTAAGGCTAGGAAGATACATTTTCTTCTAAGTGTTTTTATTTAAAATGTTTCTGTTCTGCAGTGTAGTATTTCACATTGATCCTTGTGTAGCTTTTTTCCCTTTCCGTTTTAGTCCTGTCACCCTCAGATTTTCCAGTCTAGCCATCAGACAGAAGGGAGGGCTGTCCCCTGGTGTTCACCCTGTGACGTCCGAATCATAGTGTCAGCAGTCTTGAAATTTCAGAGCTGAGTTGAGGAGTGGCTTAGAATGCAGTTGTGTTCAGCTTTCATGATGTAGATGAAAAAAATAGAAGTAGAGAGGGAAATTGACTCCCATTTATTTGCCTTCTTTCAAAAAACTCATCTATCCATCATTTGCAAGAGCACAGTTCTCACAAAGGAATCACTTAGGTGCAAGTTGTTTTTTCATAGTGGTGTAATTTAAACTTTTCAGGGTTTCTGACAAAGCATACTCTTCATTTGAAATGGAATAAGACCTGTGTTATGTTCAGAGTGTTTTGTATGTTTGTGAATTGTTTTATATTGAATTTTTGGGATAGTAGATGTTTTATTAGCTACTGAAAAATAACAGATGACCTTTTAAGAGAAAAATAATTGGAGAAAACAAAATGCTCAATTATTAAATTTCAGAATTTTGGTTTCTATGAAGGCAAATTTCTCTCAAATCTGAAATTTTAAAAAAGATGTACTTGCTCCCTAGTATGCAGACTATGGTGTCTTAAATACCGTTTCTCACCAAAAAGAACCAGAACTTTTTGGAGAAAGGTGTCAATTCCAGATTAGGAGCACAAAATGTGAGACAATATAAGTCTAGGGTGACAGTTCTCAAACTTTTTGACCTCAGAACCCCTTTCTGTTCATAAATTAATGATGGCTCCGAAAAAAATGATGGCTTTTCTTTTCTTTTTTTTAAATCTATTGATATTAACCATATTATATTACACATTAAAACTGAGAAATTAAAATATTTATTTAAAAATAATAAACCCATTGAATAACATATAACATTTTTGTGTTAAAAATAACTGTATTTTTGGGCCAGCCCCGTGGTGCACTCGGGAGAGTGCGGTGCTGGGAGCGCAGCGACGCTCCCGCCGCGGGTTCGGATCCTATATAGGAATGGCCGGTCCGCTCACTGGCTGAGCGCGGTGCAGGTGACACCACACCAAGGGTTGCGATCCCCTTACCGGTCACGAAAAAGACAAAAAAAAAAAAAAAAATTTGTGTTTTTTAAAACAAAAATATTTAGTAAGAAGAGTGGTATAGTTTTTTTACATTTTTACAGACCTCTTTTATGTTTGACTTAATGGAAGACTGCTAGAGTCTCTTATCTGCTTCTGAGTTCAATCTGTCATGATATATATGAGTGTGTATATATATATGTTATTTGTATATATATAAAATATATACACTCGTATATATCATGTATGCATATGTATATGTGTATGTATAGTGTATATATGTGGTATGTGTGTATATGTATATATCTGTGTACATATACACACACAAACGTGCACACATTATACATACATATATATCACACATATATATTTTTTATGTGTGGTGTTCTTGTTGAAGGACAGAAAAAATATTTGGGTTCACTTAGATAATGAGGGGTCTTCAGAAAGTTCAAGGAAGGATTTGTATTATCTTTTAAGTCCATTTTTCCACAGACTTTTTGAAGTACCCTACTATATAATTAGTAAAACTTAGATAATGAGGGGTCTTCAGAAAGTTCAAGGAAGGATTTGTATTATCTTTTAAGTCCAGTTTTCCACAGACTTTTTGAAGTACCCTACTATATAATTAGTAAAGGAAGGAATGCTTTAATAGCCTTTTCAGATTATTGTCCTTTGATTTATGGTGGAGTAAAATGAAACTGTGTTTGGTATTTGGAGAAAAACAGTAAGAAATGTGATTAAAGCAAGAGTAATAGCAGTAGTAGATTAAAGCAAGAGTAAATGAGGAACAAACAGTTTTGAATGATAATGCACTTGGTTGGTTAGTTTCAGTGTGTAATCTGAAACCATATTAGTAAATTTTTTGTACTCTATTACATTAAAATCCATTGATCATTCTTGCACTTTGAATGGTTCTTTAACCCATGTCTTCTGAAATTGTGACATGATGGATTGGTCATTTGGAAAATATTGATTTAATGAGTTATGCAGATCTTTTAAACGTTGACACATTTTAAAATATAAAATTTAAAAATTAAATTTGTTAATATCACCATTGATATCAGACAGTTCTTTGAATATTGGGAAGCTGTCAAGGTCATGATAGTTGATTGATGTTTTCCAAAATTCTAATTTTTGTTTGAAAGCTCAAATTTTATCATTGGCAACAAATCAGATAATCTGTTGTTTCCTTGAAGTGACAGGATCATTTTGCTTATTTCCATGAAAATGTCTGCCAAAATATCCCAGTCTGAATAATTATCGTTTGTCTATTGTTTTTTAAAGTAAAAGTGATGTTCTATGAAAAGCAGTAGCTAATTCAGCTTGCAGTTCAAACAGCTGCACAATTTTCTCCCAAGATAACCGTCATATTTCAGTGTGCAAAGGAGTGTTGTATGTGCACCCTGAATATTAAGACGATGTACACTCATGAGTGGAACTGGCATTTAAAAAAAATAAACTGAGAGTGCATGATGGTGAAGAATATAGTGACCACTAGTACAGTTTAGTGTCACTAGCTTGACTGGTACTGTGGCATCAGCTCTTTACCCACCATTGCCTTTGGATCGTCAGTACAAATGTCAACATAGTGTCCAAGGGAAATAGTATTTTTATGAAAATAGTTTTTCTGAAAGGATTTTAGTATGGTCTACAAAACTCTAAAGGTCTACCCAGATTTTGAGAACTGCTGGTCAATAAGAGCCTTGTCAGATCAGAAAACTAGTATGCTATCAAAGACTAGTATTGTATCAAAAAGACTCAACAACCAACTGCTGATCAAAGATGGGACAATTTTGAGCATTAATAACCACAGTGGATAAAACATATCAAATATGTTTAAATCTACATTGGACACCTGTGTAGGATTTTA